GGTTAATTTTGAGGCGCCTTGTTACTTTATTATAAACGATCTTCCGTCTTCCATTAAAAGGATTGAAATGCGTTTGGAGCTACTGACAGAAGGGAATTTAAACACTGGTTGTCTAAGCGGACTTTACTGGTAGGAAGCAGACCTCCTCAAAAACTAACCACTTCCTTATGCTGTAAGTGTACAAGAGTGAGAATCTAAATTGCTAAACGCCATTAGACACAGACTTAGTGTTAGGGTTCATGTGTACATTTCACGGTTACTGATGGTGCGAGTCCCATTCGAAGCAGCTACTAATTGGCTTCTTAACTTCCCCTTGAGTTGTAAGAAGTAGGATGGCTTAACCTCTTCTCTTTTTCACCTCCCTTAAGTGTAACGTGTAAGCATGAGGGATCGCTTTAGAGGATCCCGACAGCATGATTGTTTGAAGGCCTTACACTTCCATGTTGCCAGTGTTATTCTCTCTCTGTTATGAATTTCTTAGCTGAAATCAGGAGCAAATCACGCATCTCCTCACTCATGTTAATGCACTTCATCAAACAGTCCGGCTTAGTCGATGCTAAACAAAAATTCGTGCAAATAAACTAAGACGGATACGGCTTGGGTACTATCTAGCGTCCCTCAGACCAGACAACTATTCCTTTTGTTTGGCGAACCGGCAGACGAATGCTCGATCTTTCGATTGCCAGCCACTTTTAGCACTGGTTTCCAGGCTAATCATTGATGTTGGTTGTATTATCGCGATAGGGAGAACCTCTTCATTTGTTTGATTTTCGCCTGATAAAGCATGCAACAGTCACACCCGCACGCATCATTAGCATTGCATTATTTCTCCCGCCTACGATCATCTCACTTTCATTTAAAGTAGCAAGTGATCTCCACCCCTTACTAGAAAGGGCGGGTGAACACGAATACCATTTCTGTGTCAGTACTTTGGAACAAGGAAACCATTCCAAACTAAAAATTTGTGTCTTACCACGTTTTAATAATTCCACTAATTGCCTTAATTCGGTTTCAGTAACAGTCAGTAAATGTTTTGTGTTGTCCACACCATCAAATCCATTGCTTATTTAGCAAACACATAATCATTCCAGTCATCCAACATCAAATTCTGTCGTACAAGTTGGATGAAAGATGGCACAGAGGTTTGATAAGTCGATTCACAATAAGTGGAATCGTTGGACCTCCAAGGCATACATTTATTCAAATAATTAATCGCTGCTGTTTTTTCTGACAAAGAAAAGGCAAAAATAAATAGACTTGTGCTGCCTTAATGAGTGATGATTAGACAGTTCTTTGTGTCCCTTATGGAATGCAAGTAGTGATGAGACCTAGTCTTTCGTTGAAAATTTGCATCGAAAAGATTAAACTAATTTATTTGAGGCCACTTTGAGCTCTCCCTACCTCTTTGTTTCAAAGGCTTGCTCCTAAATCAATTCAAAAGTGAGTTGTACTTCTACCTGAATTTTCACACAACGGAGGCATGTTGTGGTGCTGAGGTAGAGCGGCATTACGACTGGCACCTTTGTGTTGAACGTTCCATCAGTATGAGAACCCATTTGTGTCACCTTGTTATCACGGTGACACACAGAACGGCATAGCAATTTGTATTTGGAGTCTAGACAGGTTGAAACTCTTCCCAAGCGGTCATGGCATGCAAATCTACTTATATTGCCAGATCGCACCGTCCACGTTGGTGGTTTATTAATTAACCTTTTGAAGGTATCTTTTGACCTTAAATGCTCTTCGCACATCCAGCAAAGGGTGATTGCCATGACGTTGATAAAGTTCAGAATGTTAACTGAATTTTAAAATCCTCGAATCGGTTAAATTTGCGACAATTATGGTTAATAAACACATGGCATCAGATCATAACTTACGCATTGCGTCAGAGGGAAGGGCTTTTTTAATCTTCAACATGCCCAAGATAAATGGGCGTTTACTGTTTCGTCAGGGCGATAGAAGTGACCCACTAGCACCCTTGTGCACGGTCCACATAGCATGTATTTCGACACTGGTAAACGAAAGGACTTTGCATTGTATGCTTCAAAAGTACTTTTGAGATGTTTTGTGGAGATTGGTGGACCCTTCAAACTTCCTAATTCACGAAAAGGAATTATGAGCGGCAAGTGACATGCTCAACTAATGGTCCCCATTAACTGCTGTTAGGTGGCACTTCTCACGGAGACGCTATTTGTAGTGCTTTGTTTATTTGGCTACCCCAGTGTGTGACAGTCACCTTGACGGTCATCTTACTTCCGTCGAGTGAACTGGCCTTCTGGTCATACCGAAGCCCCACTTCTACCCTTTCTGCATGAATAAAAGCCCTTTAAATGGCAAATGTAAAATTGGCTTCTTTTAGCAAGCACAATTTCTGGCACTTTTAACGGCAGGTAGATCGAAGTGAATGAAGGTGTTAAAGAATAAATGCGTGGAAGTTTTTTGAGCACTGCCTCCTTATGCTACCGTTGTTAGAGCACTAATCTAAAGGAGAATTGCTTCCATGGGAAAACACGTCTGAAGACATTTAACTCTCGATGGCCGCTAAAGTTTAGCTAAAAGTGTTCGTGTTAAATAAAATACTCTTGTGCTGTTGGCTGGAAATCATTTCTGTGGAGGCATACCTTACATTCTCACATATTTGAATTGGGACACTGTTGCCCTATGAACGGACCTTAGGATGGTTTTGACGATAGCCCTGTTAAGCACAATTTGGACAAAGCCTTGGGTCAAAATCTTGCCTTTTACTTTTTTATGTCTGTTTCGACGGGATGGTGCGTAGGTATTGAGTCCATTCAACTAACGCTCTGCTGTGTGTTAATGCAGTCTCTTGCCACCTTGTTATGCCTTTTATATCCTCAGCATTGCTTCTCCCTTCCATAGGCGGTATGAGTCAAGGTGAATGCCAAGTTTGCGTATCATTTGCTCCGCTTTTGCACCCATTCTAAAGGAGCAGTATTTGACACAAAAATTCACAGAACTACACAGAAAATGTGAAGAACTACTTCTGGTGGTACGAGCGTTCCGCCTAGGATGTGGCTCATATTCCCTTTAAGATGCTACCATTTTACTAAATTCTTTTAAGCTCTTGTGACAGGCGGCCTTTTGCACACTTTTCCTTAGCCGTGAACTAGAAGTGCCTCTCGATATTTAATGACTCTGGCTCATTCCACATAACAGCTCTAATGGAGATTTTTGGCTGTAAAATAAGTCTACTTCGTTTGAACTGGGACTTACTGCCACTAGTGTGAACACTTTATTATATGGATACGTTTGACATTGCCTTTTTTGTTCCTTTCCTAGGTTGTCAGTTATCACGAAATTGTTTGCAGCACGAATTTGTGGTGCGATGTTTTCCAGGCCCCATGTGTTGCCAACCCGTTTCGAGTTATTCTCTGAATTTCGACCTTTTGCTTGTCATTCCAAAATCACTCTCGAGTAGGGTCGACAAGCTGGTAATAACTTACCACAGTACTGTACTTAGTATCATTTTTGTATAAAGCTATCTCTTCAACTGAGAAGCAAGTCTTCAAAGTACCTCAATGCTTAACTGCCTAACTAAATTTCCAGCTACACTTCTTCACCTCTTTCAACACAACATCTCAAACAATTTAACGTTCTTCCAAGTTTGGATGCTCTACACTTTGCAAAAAAGTGGAGACACTTTAGTCACCTCCTAACCACTCTTTAAGTTTTTGTTAAAATGTATACGTGACACCTCAAAATTTCTACCTATTACCATTTCCCCTGCAACAGGCAAGCTATGAGGCTTCTAGTAACCGTAAAGGAGGAAGCAAATCTCACAGCTCTCGACTACAACCACCTTTATGAGCAAAATTAGTGTGTTAAAAAGGATGATTGACGCGTGTGTAAAACTGAGTCGTTGCGCTAGTGTTTCCGTTCATAAAAAAAATTTACTGGTGGGCGGTATTCACCTAGAGCAACCGCAATGGAGCGATCACATGTGAAGTTATGATATCACCCGAAATCGCCGCGATTTAATAATTTAGAGCGGGGGTAAGCAAGCTGCTGTCACGCAACACTGATAACCAAGACGAAGTCTGCTTCTTTGAAAGCAATAAATTGTGCAAGATAACTCATAGGGTGATAAATCTATGTTGGGGTGGAATAAGAACCCTTATGGTAACGTATTTCCATACTTGTTGCTTGTTATGTCAAGTAAAACATTCTTACTACAACGACTATTTTTGGCGATCAAAGCATTAACCCCGTTATTGCTTATACCAAAAGTTAAGAAGTGTGCAAGCACGATTACTTAGTGGTCATCGCTATCCGTTTTGATACAATCAATGTCAAACAAAGTTCCAATTATACTTTGCTTACACTCCTGTCAACCCCTTATCAAAGAATGGCAAGTGATGGCGTTTTGAAGAAAAGTCGTTTGACTCACTATTGCCAAGGCCGAGTAAAGTTGCACAAAACAACTAAAATTACTTGGCAAGCATGTCATAAGAACCAAGAGCCTCAGGCGTCTCCAGTTAGGTTAAGAGCTTGCAGGATATCTCAATCACTTTCTCAGCAAGTTTGTATTCTCGTGATGTTAGGGCTTGAAATCAAACATTACTGATTACAAGGCCATACACCTTTCTGTTACTTACATGACTCCACTCAATGTCGTGCTATTTAGAGGAATAAAAAGTTTGTAAGTTGCACTGAGTGACCCAGTTGTTTAGAAAGCGAGGATATCGTGTGATTAGTGCATCTTCAGAATGCAACCAGGCACGATTTCATTTGCTGTAAAGGAGAGAAGACGGTGATCAAACAAGTCAAAGCGGCTTCCTTACCCATATAGTAGGCTATTAACTCCTCGAGGGCATTAAACTCTGGTCTCTGGAAGAGGGAGCAGCTTCGGGTAATTGGATTAAAGTAGATTTTATAGTGCATTACTGCTCCCTTTGAATTTAGTACCGATAGGGCCAATGTGTTGTTAACTGTCAAAATAAATATTTGAGTAAATAATACAGCAACTTTTCAAAAGCCAATCACCACACCATATCGAAGCACTGACCACTACTGGGACGAATGACATAGTTGAATTTGCTCAAGTAGGCATGCGATTTGAGAAGCATATTTGCACAGAACCGATCCAATTGCCTGTAAGCGTCCAGAGCTGCGATTGGTCTACGTGTGTCGGTGATGTAGTTTGGGAACACTTCGCCTTGGTCAGGGACTTGAGGATACATGACGAGAGTTTGGTTATGGTGTTCATTCATAGGAAAGAACCGTGACATCTAAAGAAAAAAAGAACTCAATAAGTTAAGATGATTTTAAGCATTAGACGTTCCAAAATCTTTTGCTTCGACTCGCCAGTTTCGCACTCCTCTACTGTCTGCATCACTTTTTACCCTAATGCGCTCCTTTAAGGAATAAATAACTGCAGAACTATGATAAGGCACGTACTTAGTCATTGGTTTAGGAGTTGGTTGTGCTCCCTCTCCGACGGTAACGCTATTCAAGGAACTGGACCAAGATTATTTTTCAAGCTGTTATGGATGTGCACTTCAACTTAGACCACACTACCACCTAAACCATATTTTTGTCATCTTTTCATACATATGCCTTTAATGCGAACCGGGTGGGCAGTAAGGAGGTGAGAACAGCAAGCCGAGGCTCATGTAACTGTTACTGTCGCATTGTGCCAAAACTTAATCCAGAAGGAGCCCGCAAGTCCAAGCATCACCGAATCAACTTCACTTTTACCTCATGTAGGAAGTCAGCGTGTCTACCTCCACTAAATGAGCTCATTTTGGTACTCAATGAGGGAGGCGGATCAAGTGGGGATCGCAAAACCGTTTTACCAAGAAAGTCTGTCTACCATCGTTAGTAGACAGTTACCGTGAAACTATAGTGCCACGCTTTAACATGCATGTTCATGCATCTTGATGCAATGTAATTGGCAACAGAAATGAAGCTCGCCTAATAAAGTCTTATATCTGTTGTCCTCTTTGTAATTTGAAAAAAGAAATGCCGAATCGTGAAAACTAATTTCGAGCAAAAAAAATTCTCAGAAATCGCAAGACATATTTAATTAAGCGGAGCGACAAAACAAATCCAAGCTGTGAATGCGGTGCAGTTAATCTGAAAGCAGGAAATTGACTTGTTAGTAAAAATCACAAGTCTACTCCAAGCATTGATAATTATTTTACTCAACTTTTAAAGGCTCCGTGTTAAAGTAAAGTTGAAACGAGAATGAAGAGGCGCTGTTTAAAGCGGCATGCAAAAATCACCAGCCAAACACACCTAATGTTAAGCGACACATCTGGTCACCTCTCACTCTCAAGCAATCACAAAGTAACGGAAAACGTCGTTAAGACTCACAATGAGTGTGCTCCTGCCTTGAGCATCCAAGAGACACAGTAATTTTACCTCTGGTCTACACCGAGCAATATGAGCACCAATGAGGCTCAAGTAACCAATAACAATGCGATCTTTTTTTAGTTCATTGAATTTAAGAAGTTAACTTTCATGCAGCTTCTCCATGGCACGATGAAAATTGTCTCTATAAATAGCCGACAGAGCCGCACAAAGTAGTGCGCTCCGATAGGTCCATCGGGTGTTAGTCACAAAGGCGTAAATTCAACGGTTCCCGCAAATAAAGGCGGGAATATCATTCTACTGATTAGATTTGAAAAATCGACTTTTCATCTTTGGGATTATAAAGCAGCCGATTGCGGCAGATTGGGCACATTTTATGCCTCAAGACACGTGTTAACACACTTGAGATCATAAATTTAGCACTTCTGTGCACTTATAAAAACAAGTTGTTTTAAGCTCTAAATCATTTGGGATTTAGATTATCTACTTCTGGAACTAGGAAACGGCTAATTGCTTTGTTCAAGATGGACAAGGTATCATTTTTAATGACCATGTAAACCGGAAATTCGCTACCGACGCTACTAGATGATCTATTTTAGCTCACCCAAAGCTCCTGAAATACAGTGCTGTTGGAAGGCCCACTTGTATTAGCAAGCCATTCGGAGTGTTGACAGCGCAAAACTGAGGATAACAGAGAAACTAAACCGCAATGTATGAAGTTTGGTGCAGCTGCCCTACTTATACCCGTTGTCAGTAGGATGGAAAATTACCAGTGCTAAGCAAAGTTCCATATGTGAAGCCTCTGATCTCCCTGCAAAAGGATTGTAACACTGTACTGTATGCGTTGGCAGGTTGTTCTGCTGATAACGCCGTGAGTTCTGCAAGCTCGCTGCTTGTTCTTAATCCTTCCGCACAGAATGCGTTACTATAAAATTGCTTTAAATTTTGATTGCTCTCGTCATATCACCGACTTTTATAAGAAAATTCTCTTCAAAAATATGAGGAGAAAGGAAGTTTATCCTAAAAATGTTTGCAGCATATGTCAAATCTGTGCTGATTTTTGCATCTGCACACTCCATTAGTAGCGTGACAGATAACTTCTCCTCTTCTATAAGTTTTGCTGACAACACTTCGATACATGCTTTACGACAACCGTCACTTGGCTTATGGTAAACGATGAAGAGATGTCCTTGTTCATGCCCTTGCAATTGTACTGTGTACATTCATAGAACCCATTTCTACACATTCCAGTCCCTCACCTCCCTGATAATTGCCAATGAATACCAGCAGCCACTCAAAGTATCACCCTATTACCTCTGTTTTATGCATGCGTTCAGGGAGGTAGCTACGAATTAAGATGTTTACATACTGGAGGATATCAGGCACAACTTCTTTCTGGAGGCAGGACAATGAATGAGTCGGGCACTCTTCCCGCTGAGTTTAAACTAAGCACATAGGAGAGTCTTCGAACTCTGTTGAGCCACTCCACCGGTCACAGAGCCAAATCTATCTCCATGTCGCGCGGATTTTGCCATGAAGGCGTGGCTAAGGTGGGAAAGCATAGTGATAGGAAATAAATGCAGTGCCGCGAATAATTGCTGAAGTAACAATAAGCAGTGCTGATGCGGCATGATCACGAGGCTGTAAGGATGCCTATGATCCGTTTTGGGGGATCAAACGCCGTTGTAGATGCTTATAATAAGCTAAAATGAAGGGAGGGGTAGATAGAAGCTTATTTGTTGCAATTGCCTGTTTCTCATCATGCCTCAACTCGTGTGTGAGATGCAGTGCGGCTGAAGAAGCTAGCAAGAGTAGCTGAAGATTCAATTTAGAAGGACAACAAATTATGGCCTATCCAGTGGCTCTTTAACTCCTCCTCTTATGTCTCTCGTATCTCTTGTAAGACTTGATTGTGGGTGGAACTTCTGCGTCCACAGCTTTATTGGATTCGTTTATCAGCTAAGTAATTACACTTCAACTCATTCGCTATTATCATCACAGGGTTGTCTAGTTTGTCAATGCAGGACTCACTTCGTCCTCGTGCATATTACTCGGCCGTAGTTCAGTTACCTAAAGCCCTAGCCAGCGTTCCGCTGTTCAACAAACCCTTTTTCCTCATCTTTTTAGGCCTTAATCCACTACAAAGTAGAAATACGCGTTACTTCGCTGTAATGTATGCCACGAAAATTGTTCCCTAGCATTATCCAATTAGGCGCTTACCTGATTAAATCCTCATGAGTGCAGTTTATCCCTACTGCTCCCTGGAGCACAGCATAGTTGGGTCATGCCTTCATGCTAATAACCTTGGCACCTAATTTCACAAGTTAAAAGGGTTCAATAAGGCACTTCTACGTCAAGTCTTCACGTGGAAGTGATAAGTGCTATTGTTCCGACTACCCTTGCTCGCAGCTTCACATGATTGCTTGCCGAAGCAAGCCTTAGTCACACAACTGTAAGTTCAAATAAAAGGCTTTTGCTTAAGTCTGCTTGCATGCGTACCACATGAGCCAACTGATGACCTTTTGCATAAATTGTTCTTTCAACAAGTGGATACACAGACTGGTAAACAAGGGACAAGCTATTGCAGTCTGTATTGAAATTCTTTCGTCCCTGCACTTTCTTGGTGCAGCATCAAGTGCAGCACGTAAGTTTTTTAAGAAATCACCTTTATGCAGAGGCATGAAAGGAGTCGAATAGACTTAAGTGAGACGAACAGAATAAAATTTCGGATGAATCGTTTTCTCTGCATGTAGACAATCGACGCGTGCACTTTGTGGGATACAAGTGAAGGGAAACAATGACTTTATGGTCCATTCAGGGTAGCGAGTGGGTCTGCATTGCGAGGGACGACTTTTTAGTGTTTCCTGGAAGATGGAATTGGCCGAAGCAAATCGCCTCATCTTGGCTCACTGCCTCCTGCTACCCTTGGCCTTGTATAGGCAACGCATGTTGGTTGTTTAAATTTTGCTTTGCAGAAATGAGGCGCGGGGTTAATTTTAGACAGCATGCAAGTGGAGTGCGAGGATCCTCCTTAGAACTAGCTCGTATATCCCAGCTGTGTCTCTACTTCCTACTTAGCGATGCCCATCAAATTATCATCAAACAGTCTCCCTTCCATCAAAGCACTGTAGTCAAACGTTTTTCAATTACGTAAATTTGAAAAATAATGTGAGTTGCGCCTCTTGATAGCAGACCTTTGATGATATCCGAGAATAAGTAAGTTCATTTTGAAGCACATAAACTTGCCTCGACATGCTTCAGAATTTTTTTCTCTGGCTTTTTTTCCACTTATCTTCATAATATTTTCAACGTTCTTTTAAATCGCATCTTAGCAACAAAATTTTCTCATTGCTTGCCAGCATAAAAATGGTTTTATGAGTAGCACAAATTCAATTCCCATTGATTGCCGTGGCGTTTTATTTCCACCCGATACGTTCTTTACGAGTAATCGTGAGTGATGGGAACATATAATTTGGGAGTTTTCTTGTTACTCTTTGTGAGGGGTCCACGTAGTCACTCATATTTGCCCCTTCAGTAAAGCTGTTTATCGTCGGCAGTGCGTCTTGTGGAGATGATTTCGACTAGCTTCTTCAGTGAAAAAGGAAAAGCATCAAATTGACTGTGCTACTCTTTGAGTTCGAGGAGCTCTTATTTTGTCACAAACACGTATACCGTTGCAACAGCTATTGACCTCTGATTTGACACCAATAAAGCTATTAAACTTCCTCGTCTCCCTAACCGCGCCTTCTGGTCTGGATGTTTTGCTGAGCGTCAATCGCACCGAAAAGACAAAAGATTTTCAGGGATGAAAACAAAAGCTGACAGTGCGGGAGGTATTTGTATTCTTCTATCACGAAATCAAAGAGTGGCGCTTTGTCCTCTCTAAATGAAACACAACTCTTATCGCTTTGACAAT